CCCCGCCATGCCCCGGGAGCAGTCTGGATCATGGGGGACTAAGTCTGGCTCAGCCTGGAGACCCCTGTGAAACCCCCAATTTGCCATGGGGTTGGGGGTTCCTGCTTCTCTCCAAGTCCCACCCCCCCTCGCTCCACCAAGGGTCCAGCCCGGGATGCCTGGGGAATGGCACAAGCCAAACCCCAAGGGGCAAATCCTAAGCAAGCCCGGCTTTGGGGCACAGCCTTGCTCACACAAACCAGCCTTCACAGGTGCCGGGGTGCATCCCCCCACCGGAGATTTCACCCACCCTGGGGCTCAGGAGAGGAAAACAAGCAGCGACAGGCAGAGAAGAGCCCGGCAGCATCCCAACACCTCTCCAGCCATTCCCATTCCCAAATCTCTTCTGACTTTCCTCAACTGCCCGATGCTGCAGCTCCTGCCCTGGACACCGAGGCATCCAGCACGCCGTTGCCGCAGCTGCACGGTGCTGGAGCAAAAAACTAGATCGCTTCTTCTCGCCAGCCCGCTTCATTAACGACAAGAAATCGTAACGGCTTTCACAGCAGCTGAAGGTGCGAGATGCTTCTTCGCCGGGGGGGTTGCAGAGCCGGCAGAGAGGAGACGAGGAGGGGGGTGTTTGGGTGAGGTTTGCTGGCACTGGGTGCTCGTGGGTGCCAGCGAGGGAGGTGATGAGCTGAACCACCACTGGGATGCAATAGCTCTCAGCCACCCAAATTCAGGGTGAGCGTGCCACTCTGTCTGCACGCAGCTGCCTTCAGGATAAATAGATGTCATTTTAAAAATCAATGAGAACTACTACATTCGCTTATCCTGGTTCATTAATAACGGTCCCTCTCGACAATACACCACGCACCCCAGGCAGGGATCGCCGGGCTCGCAAGGCCAAAGGCCAGCCCTGCCCGCACCCGTGCCTGCCTGCACGTCCGTGCCTGCGAGGCAATCGCAGCCAGCCCCGGCCCGACCACCCCAGCCATGCAAACACCCGGCCACAAATCTGTTTTTGGTGTTCATTGGGGCCAACAGAATTAAAATGGAGTTTTCCCTGGGGCACAGCCAAAGGGTGGGATGAAGATGGGGTGCAGCCTCTCCCCAGCTGGCATCCCCAAAAGCGCCTGTCCCAGCAAGGTGCGACTTGGAGCTTGATGATGCATAAGTGTAAAAGGGTAAAAAAGTGGCTCTTTGGCACTTGGGGAGGGGGAAGGAGGGGAAGGAGGGAGGAGATCTTTCTGGGAACATCCTTTGGACCAGAGGTCTCCAAAGTGGGGTGCTGCACCCCAAGGGAGGCACAGGGCAGTCCGTCGGGGTGCGGGAAGAAAATCTTAGCACTCGAGTAGCACATGCATATGGTTTGTAAATAAATAAATACATGTTTACTCGGGGTGCATGCTCAGAAATTTGTTCCTGGTAGAGATGCACAACCAAACCAGCTCGGAGATCACTGCCCCGACGCACGAGGTTTTACCCCGGGAGAGGCCAAGAGG